GATACGTTTACTGATATATATTTACAGAATGAATTAGCATCGTACCATTTATTGTGATGGCGCGATAGAAAAGTACATTTGTGCAACACAAACGCATAAAGTGTATATATGACGACATTCCCGGTGATTTGAAAGCAAAGATATCAAAATGCAAATCAGTTTTATTTTGAAGCTGCCGCATTTACTGCATCCAACGATGTAACGTTTGTTACTCGCGAGCTCATGACTCATGACTTCGCGGTGTCATTATGTACGCGTTAATCTTGGTGCGATGCGCGAGTGACTTCGCTCGTTAGTTAGGGAAAATCACCCAACCAGAACTCCGCAAGAAACGTCACTACGGCTTGTTTGATCGGCGCGATGGTCAGATGATTAATTATATGACGAAATGCACAGTCATCCGAAACCACGGACAATTCGGAGAGGAAGAAGGGAGGAAGGGGAGGGTAGCCGTAATTGTGTACAGACTAAGATACATTCTGATGCACGATTAATCGATATTCCGACTAATTGATGCCTGACTCGATTAATAATTACAACGGTTCGTCGCGCGTTCAATCGCCCCGTGCACATCTCCAATAGGCACTCGGCAGATTAACTTTCATCGATACATGTAACTGTGACACTCTGATGTTTGTGTAAACGTGTTATAAATTTACACAGAGAATTGTTGTTTTCGTCTCACCGTCTTTCTGAGTTTATAATTTAAAATTCACGACCTTAATTCCCGGCCTGTGTGTGATTCGGATTTTAGTAACATTTTGAGCATTTTTTTGTCAAAAGCGTCTGTCTGCGAAGAGAAGATTACATTTGTTTATAGGTATATTTACTCGAAACAAATCTCGTTGATCCGGGACAATTGAGTTCCACATTATTCTTTTTGCCTCATTAAATAAACGTTTAATGAGCATTAAATTAAATAGGCGACAGGTTAATGCACACGAAAGAGGACAGCGTATATCTAATTAAGTCTCGTCCCAAAGAATCTCACCTTGAAACGAAAGCCACGTGCACCACACTCACGTACTCTCTGTAGGTGGACGCGGAAAATGCGGTTGCAGGCTAATTTGCGGCGGTGCTAAACGAGGAGTTGCCGAGGCATCAAGAAACAAGGTTGGGCGAGAAAGGGCAAAGAGACGAGAGATGGCGGGCGGAAGAAGCGAGGCGAACTCCAGACACACACACACACACAGCGCGAACTGCGGGACCGAGTAATTATCTTTGCAGCGGGAAATGTTATTTACTCGTACCTATTTGCTCCTTCGGACATTTGATCTCTCCTATGGGAAACTTGGCCATTTAGCTCCGGCATGAACATTAAATTTTATCGCGTTCCGTATCTTGGCAACGCGCGGAAGATGTACGATTACGACTATCGAAGCATCATCTTCTGTCCGCTCGCGTAACACGGTGAAACGTAATAATCGAACTGAAGAGACAATCCGGGCAGAAAACATTTCCGAGCGGAAAGCGAATTGCAGATCACTTGAAAAGAGACGCAAATACACGAGTAGTGAGCGAAAGAGAGAAGGAAAGAGACATGGGATAAGGCTAGCAGCCGGCCTTTGTGTCGCTGACACTCTCATAACCGCTGATTCCGCTTCTATCGAAACCCCTCTTTTACCGTTAGGTCGGTTTTATCAAACAGAACTAGCCATAATTGCACGGCACAATTACAGACCGCTTGCGACTGTCTCTCTCGTTTGTTCCCCGCTGACTACATGTGTCCTCTTTCTATTTCGTTGTCTCTGTTCCCGAGCGCGCGCGTCCAATCAGCACCTGGATTAAGTTAACTGCATCGGCACCTTTTGGATAGACCTGTTCACAGCAGTCGTTCCGGAATTGTTCGGAAAAGGAAAAGAATGAAAGGAGAGATGAGGCCCTAAAGAAAAAGGGGAGGAGAATACTTGACTCGGTTACGACCGAGGTATTTGACAGAAGTGGCGAATTATAATTGGGAGATCGTATTCAAGAAAGGGAGGTCAACTAAGGTACAGTGGCTGTTGAAAACGTACAAAGATATGAAGTAGTTAGAGACTGTCGTTGCAAACGACTCCGTTCGAGCGAGAAGTACAAAAAAATATAACTTCGTGTATAAAAACACAAAAAAAAAATATTTTTTATATATAATTATATATAAAATTATATATATTTTATATATAATTATTTTTTTAGTATATAATAGTAATGGAGACTATAAAAAAAAACAATAAAACTTATAATAAAACATTTATTTTGATAAATACGAATATTTTTACAAAACTAATGTCACACAGTAGACACAGTCAATGTCTAATCAGACCAAAAATTCAGTAGATGAAGTCAGCGTCCGGTCAGACCAGCAATATAAATTCTTCGAATATAATAAAAAAAAAAAAACCAAAAACAAAAAATTATATATAGTGTCTTGTGCAATAAACAAGAAATAAAATATGAAAAAAAAAGTTTATCTAAAAAACTAACAAGAGCGTTATTTAAGTAACTTAAGTTTATATGAGAGAAAACGCGAGTTTAACAAAGTTTTTTTCTTGATTCTAAACGATACAACAGCGAGAGAGTTGCGAAGTTGTTCTCTCTACTTTGAGTGTGATCGCAAAACCGGAAAATGCCATAGTATACGAAAGCGTTTAGGAATCTCGAGTAAAGCGATGTTAAGAGCAGTTAAGAAGATAGCGCGAGCTAATAAGGCGGACGAGAGCGATAAGTACAAGGTAAAGGGTACGAGAGAGAAAGAGAAAGATGGAGAGAGAGAGTGAAAAGGGACGGAGGAAGGGAAGAAGTACACGTATAGTCCCTGAGGCTAAGCACCGATCGTCGGCCGATGCCAGCAAGTGCATAAAGACCGTCTTTCTCGCCGCGCCGAGTGGCTTTCATAACTGCGGACAAGTTTGCTGGTAAAACCACTGACGGTAGATAACGACGAGTGAATAACACGCTGGGCAAAACGGCGGTGATAACTTCGACTTGTCACATTATGAACGCGACTGAGCCGCCGCCGACCGTCCGCTGGCGCCGCGTAATGGGTTTGCCAACTCTCCTCCTCTCACTTCCTTCGACCTCACCCTGACTAACTTCAGTAAAACATTATGGGAAACCATGACCTCTTCGTCTTATATGTCGCGTCACTTCGATGAAGATATCGGTAACGAGACATCGACGACGTCGAATCCTTGGAGAAAACTATGCGATCCCTCCGTTTCTTCTCGCGACGCGAGATATATAAATTTTATTCCGGGATTAATTGAAATATAACGAGAAATATTACAGTAACTGCGTGAAGATAATTATTACTTGTCACGCTTTCGCGCTTTTTATTCAGATTTACGATTTGATAAACAAAACAATAAAATATATAACTGAATGAGCCTCTCATACATGACGCGTAAAATGATTTTCACGTATTTTAACAAACATGCGATTAAATTTTAAATATTTTTCGTTAGTATATATATATATATATATATTATATTTGTCGATAAGTAAAAGATTAAATTGAGTCGTAACGTGGTAGTAAAAACTCAATTATTGGAAATATTTGGTATCGCGTGACAACGAGATTCGAATTTTACTTCTACTGATACAATTCGCCTGTGAGAATTTAAAATGTAGCTTTCTATTTCGTGATAAATAAATAATATTGCATATTCATGTTTTATATGCAATAGCAGATATGTTTTTGTTTTTGCTGGAACAAAAACTTTTCACAGAAAAAAATGAATTTCGCACAAGCGCCAAACATTCCAATTTTTGTCAAAAATCCGCTTTTCTAACTGCGCGAATTCGCGGAAAACAGGTTCTGATGCTCTGTTCCGGTAATCTTAGAATTTTCCAAGAGAATTACTCCCAACATTGCTTCATCTCTTAATGATTATCCGCTAAAGAGAACTTTCTACTGATATGTTTTGCTATTTTGTTACAGACGGGATCTTACGGAAAAAGCCTCTTGATCTGGGTAAAGCCACGGAAGGATTTAGCAGAAGACGGATAAAAGTCCGCGCGAGAAAGTCGAAGGAAGAAAAAAGAAACGGGGAAAAAAATAGAAACGGTCCGGTAACAAACGTTACGCGAATGTGAAAAAAAAAGAAAAGACGAAAGTAGAAAGGTCGTTACTTTCGTAATCGCGGGTCGGTGAAAGCGATGATTGTGTCTTCATGTTATACTCGAAGGAACGGGAGTAATATGTTTGAAAAAGAAGGAGGAAACGTGAAATATAGAATGCATAAATCAGGACTCGCGCAGAAATGAAGATTCTGTCCGGGGAAGAGAAGAATAACGGCGCGAGTGCAAAATTTTACGTGACGTAAAACTCTCTCGCTCGATGACGCGGAAAAAGTGCGCCCGATACACAACTACGGGACATGGTCGTGTTGCTATTGCATTTTCCTTTGCTTTTCGATAGTTCGCGTTGCTAACTGAAACGATAAATATGCGTGTTTTAATTTCTTCCGCGTCGTCGAGTACCAATTAGAGTCGCAAACGCGTGATCGCGCTTAATTAATTAATTCCCGCTTCGCGAGTCGATTATGCCGTACCGTGTCGGACTCGACCGTGACCTAAAACTCCCGCAAGATTAATTACCACGTGAACCACCCGCGAATAAAAACGCTCTTCCCGAAGCATTTGCTTTTTTCTGATCTCGTCTTAGCACGTTTTAATTTCGCCTGTTCGGATTCGCAAAATTAATTTCGCTGAATCATGATCCCTCGACAACTTCATTGCTCGTCGCAATTCTTTGTTCCCGCGTTTACGATCGAATTTCGCTTTAATAAAACTCCTTCTTCAAGAATTCTTTCTGCGAAGCGGACTATACAAGAATATGTGCGCGTGAACATTGCGCTGCACGGAATATTCTACTTTCCTTCGAGCTACTCGCCCGAAGATTATTATTAGATATTATTATTATTTCCCGTCTCGGCGATATAATAAAAGAGAAAAAAAATATCTAGTAGACGGCAGATAAGACGACGGCAGTATCGAGAGAGTTTCGTTCGATTGCGTAGATATTCACCGGCAGTGACGTATTGTTGTGCGCGCGTTCTTGAAAGACGGAGCTACAAGGACGAGACGACGAGCGCGGCGAACAAAAGCGGAGCGTAGTAACGAAGGCATGCCGGGAAAGATAATATCGAGGCGGAGAACTGATTGAAAGGAGAGAAAATGGCTACTATCGAGGCCGCTAGTGAAATGCGTGCGTTGCGTCGGGCGATATGGTTCAGTGCCGTGCTATTAGCAACGACGCCGTTGGCCTACACTCAAGTAACGTGGACGCCGATCTACGTGGGAGGTTACAGTGAGTACATCATATACAATTGCTTACTTCTCGCTACTTTGTTAAATAATGATTTGTTAAACAATTAAATGACAGAATTACCGCAGACAGTTGTGATAGAACTATAATTCACGTCTTAGCTATTTCACTTTTTTTATTTGAAAAATATTGAAACATTTTCAACAGATATTTCACTTACGATACAATAACACGTGTATTATGAGAGTAGTATGTGAAGATAATAATGATGAGACTATAAATATAATATTATAATATTCAATAGATATATGTTAAAAAGGATATTTATAACAATACATGCGGACTGAAATCTCGCGTAAACACGTGACTCATCACCGTTATTTGCCGACAATTCGCGTCATTTCATCGCGAAACGTGCACGACATTTGCAGTTGTCACTAATCTTCATTACCGTACAATATATTATGATAAATTGTGCTTTGGGTTATGCGCTATGCGCGTCGCTTCGTTGCACGCTCGAAAACATGTCAAAGCGAGCGCACACGTTTTTTTTTTTTGATTTTTTTTTTTTTGACGCGACATATTTTCATTCGTCCGACGGGAGAAAAATGGAAAAAAGGGAACGACTGGCGGTAAACGATGAAATATCGCGTAACGTTATTTTTTTCTCCGTTTTTGAATCTTTTTTAACGACTCGAACTTTAGCAATCAGGACTAGAGCGCGAACGACGAGTCGGCGAACGCAAAAGCGTGCTCCACGAAGGATTGATCGCGTCAATTAACGTGCCACGACTGGTTGAAAGTTCGCGAACGAGTACAATTAATGGCGCATCAGCTTTGCGCGCCGCGCTGTCGAGAAAAGAGAGAACGTCTAAGCGAAACAAACTGAAGTCATAACACGTTGTCACGTTTCCTCTCGCCATAATATTAATAAACTTCAAAAAAAAGTGAAGCATTCAGAATGAAAATAATATATTGTTATAATATTTCTTTGCGCGATGTAAACAAAATATACATCACGCAAAAAAATGAAATAGTATTCAATATTTTATACATTATTCAATATTTCAAGAGAAAGAGAGAGAGATATATTTACTGCAATATTATTTTAAAATATTTTGAGATAAAAGATTAACGTAATAAAGTAGGAATATATAAATTAAGCAGAGTCTTTTCTATCTCGGTGTGCAGTCGTAAATTATTTTAATGATGTTTCTTTAAAAAAAAAAAAAAAAAAATTGAGCTCAGAATTTAATCTTTTGTCGCTTAACGAGAAGCATCAAACCGAGAATGATGATAAATGCATAAAATATCCGCTTAAGAGAAAAGCAATCTCACGAGTATTCAGATCTCGACGGACATTAAATTTTTATAACCCCGGAGCGCGTTATCCGTTAATGCCGTCACTCTGCCTGATGGACGTTGCAATAATTGAATTACAGGAATCGTCGGTCACATAATTTATTAGTGCCGGACAGTTTTAATGCGTTATTGTTAATTACTGCCATCGGGATTTTGAATCGATAATTATTACCATCTATACTGCTATATTTTACTAAAACGCAAAACTGTATAATCTTCGTTTATACATTAAATGAAAATACATTTTATAAATGCTGATAAATAGATTGCTCAAGGCACAAACTCGTAATACAATACCAATGTGTGACGCAGCAACATTGAAAATGTGACAAATTCTTTCTCTTTGTTCTCTTTATTATATTTTTTTAGATAATTAAATTATAATATAACATAACAAAGCAATGATTTTGTCGTTACGCGAAAGCATTGTGTCGCGTATCAATTGCAGATATCAAAATGTTGAAGAACGGAAAATTGGAATGTGACACAAAAATAGTCGACAGACTCTACTTTTCTGATATACGTTGTCGGTAAAGATACGATATTTTATTCCGTATATATTTCGTGGAGGAGAAGAAAAACGGATAATGTGGAATCGGTAACAATGTATCTACAGCGGGATCAAATTATCGCACACAGAGAGAACGATATTGTAAGAGAGTTTTAGTCCGAAGTAGAGTTTTACGGAATGATCATTCGATCCACGTAGAACGGATTGAAAACCAATCACGCTTCGTAGAAAGATACAGGTTGGGGAGGGAAGAGGAAGGGTAGCCCGCTGCTACCTGGAAATCAATCTGAAACGTGCCCGATGTAACTCAATTTTCTTCCGGTTATGTCTAAGGTTACCGTTGCAGGCCGCGTATAAGCTGATATGAGAAGAGGTGAGCGTCCTTGAGTTTGCAATTTGCGCGAAGTCTGATCGCAGTCTTAATCACTAAGAACTTCATCGTGAGAAATTAAGCACTACCGTTCTGCAACTCTCCGACGTATCTTACCTTGTTTGTCTTAATGAACAGGGTCTCGGAGTTGCGCCTTTACCCTACCTTTCCGAGATTTACTCACTAACATTTCTAATAGGAAGCGTAACGACCACGTGATATTTTCAGAAAAAGGTAAAAACTACGTGGCGCGTTGAAATTACATTAGAAATGGAAGATTATTTTAGAGAAATAATTTGTGATATCATGTACACACGTGTGAGAAATAATTTGTGATATCGTATACATATAGTATCGAATTTCTCTTAACGAGACGGTGCATAGTGCGGTACATATGGCGATGCAAATTTGTTACATATGCAATACGTTCGTGCAAAATGTATTCAAAGTCCGAAGCAACATCCCACAGTTTCTCGCATATTCCTGGAAACTGGAGAACTCGCTATCGCGTGCGCGCGCGCGCGCGCGCACCATTGTGGGGCATCAATCTTCCAGATCGTTACGAGTCCTACGTCCATTTAGTAAGGTCCTTTCCAGTTAGATTCCGACGCCGTCGTAAGCGATGTTGTCGCCTTAACGACTCGGCTAGAGACAAGCAGATCCTTTAAAACGTGATTCAGAGGCGCGTGTAGATCCGGAATAATTCAAGCCGCAAACATCGTGTGCTCTCTCGCAGCGACGGATCGAGAGCGCGAGGGTTGAAGAGAGAAAAGGGAGCGGGGAAAGAGAGAAAGAGAGAGAAAATCGCTCGGAGACGATGGGAATTTGGACTAGTGAGAGAGTGATGAAGTAGTAGAATACTGGCGCACGGGAATCGTCATTGAAGACTCTCTTTCGCAAGTCGGTTGGTTGTCGTCGGTAGCAGACTGTATTCTAATTAACGGCGGGTAACAAGGATAGCCAAGAGAGATGGAGAGTCGTTGTAATAACTCTACGCGCGCCTCTACGAAGCGAGGGTGAATTGAGAGAAGAAGAAGAGATTGCACACAAAAGAGACTCGGGTGGGAGAACAGTCAAGAGTAAACACACAAACAGGGGGTACGATGGGAGAGAGAGACCGATTCTTGAATTCGGTGTCTCGTGTACGCCCCGTCTTAAAATGTTGTCGATTAATTAACACCCGAATACTTGGGCGCGCAGTTGCTATTTCCTTGGGCTTGGCGCGCGCGCGCGGAAATTTCTTAACTTTCGTGATGTGAAAAGGTCGAGAGATCCGTCGTCTGAATATTGCGCGACACAATAATGAGACGACTAAGTACTGAATTCGGAGATGGATGGTCTCTCTCACGTCACGTTAAGCCGACATAAATAGGGCCAAGAGTCATTTGTCATGCGACTCCATACATTCGGTTTATACCAGAGTTATATACCACAGACACTTGATAATTTCAAACTTCCCGGTTTCCGCTTGCGCATTTCCTTGATGTGACGAATTTCGCAATTCGCATATTGCATCAACACGGAACGATACACATATACAGGTAACACAGTTATCAATTCGGCCAGCCATTATAATATTTACAGTTCTGTTTGCATTTACCCTATTGTCGTGGAACGAGAACAAAATTCAATGCGCTTTATTCTTGAATTTCGGTAACGTATAGAAAAATGGATCAATGACGCGATATCTTGCGTTACACCGTGTATACGCGGCACAAAGACCGCATTGTGAGGTAGGCATGCGTACTTAATTCACGTATTACCCACACACACGAGATTGTGAATGCACGCATATGGCGTCCTGAAACTGCTTACGCGCGCGTAGTCTCATTATTCGGAACTTCAAAAGGATCATACTTCCATTGCGAGGTTGTAATAGTAATTATTCACGTTTTACAAGTCGCTTTTTGTATTACCGTTACGTTCTTTATATTCATAAAGAACTGACATACGCGTAAGCAACTGATATGACAGATAATTAAATGTTGAACGGTTTGAAAAAATTATTATCCAATACTTGTAAAACTTGCAGAGTGATTTTCCTTGCGATAAAAAAAATTCAAAATTAAGTTCTCGAGAAACATTTTTTACTCATTCGACTTAGTTCTGTTTCTTGATAAAAGATAAAAAATCGATAGAGCTTGTTCGAGCTTCTCTTCTGCTGAATAAAATTTCGATTCTAGTAAAAATGCTCGTAAAGTCGCGACACGAGACTCGAGAGTTGGACGGACGCGGATCGAATATCGCGATCGAATCCCACGAAGATCGCAAGTTTCTCAAGAAAAGGCATACAGCACACTCTTCCGTCACGTTTGTTTTTTCGCTTTCTCATCTCTCGTCTTTCAGTCTTATCACGTGCGATTCGGACTCGGTCGGATCAAGACTCGGCTGTACTACTGACTGTCCTGACTGAGGAAGGGTGCTTCGGCAATTTCGCTCACGAGCCAAACTTTGATTCGCCCGCGGGGTTTATTGCGTTGCTATATTAACAAGGTCTCGGCGACGCGTCTACGCGACGCGAATTAATTACTTTGTTCACCGTCCGAACTTTTTCGCCTCGAACAACGCCCCGTACACAGTAAAAAATTGTGCGTCAAAATGTAGAACTTTTCTTGTGTTACGACGTTTTGATTATTACTTCAATGTAAAATTAACATAATACTGATATGTTATTATTTTTTTAATCTTTTCACGTGTCAAATTTATGTTAACTTCACAAATTAACATTTTTTGCATGTCATTTAAAAATGGAATATTGTTTAAGTGCTTTTAACACAATGATTTCAATTAATCTAGATG